GTGGTTCTTTTGGATTTGAACTTCTGTATCGGGCCAAAGCTCTAAGCGCTGCGCCAAGCCTGCGAGGGGTGGCCTTTTACGTTTCAGTGTTCTTTTACTAGAGACATTGCTCACTTAACTTTCAAAGAAGTTTGTGTAGAATGGGTTCCCAGGTCCAAATCTGCTCTCTGTGTACTGCAGGTATTGGTTATTCTAACTACCATTGAATTTTAATGTAGGCGTTGATTGGCTTTTTTGTTTTGTTTTGTTTTGTTTTGGGCACAATGCTCTAACAACCTTCCAAAGAACAAGCTGAATTTCTCGATTCAGCCAGCGTTGAGTAGTGCCTTTCAGTTTTATATTGGTTATGAAAATTCTGGAGCTCATGAAGAGGAAAATCACCTAGAGTGGACCAAATATTTTATGCATGGTGCATCATTTAATCCTCACAGTATCCTTGTGAGACCAGTATTTTTATTCCCTTTTTTCTGATGGGTGAGGACTGTGGGTCAGAGTTAAATGAGGTAAACTGCTCAAAATATCCAGTGTTGAATAGTTTACCAGTGTTGATATTTAACCACAGTTCTCCTCAAGTTTATTAATTCATGTACTGAACTAATCTTATAAAACTTTTATATGTAATCTTGTATTTATGTTTCAGGAGTGCGTTCTTCAGCATTCAAAGTCTAGTTGTTCCTATTTAAGAACTATGTGTAGTTTTTTTCTTTAAATATTATCCATGTATGACTGTAGAGAGGGCAAATTAGTCAAGTGATCACCCCAAACTACCCTATGATTATTTTATTGCTCCCTTTTTTTAAGAAGACTAGAATTACACGAAAAATAATACCTTGCTTTATCCTTTTTTTCAAAAGTGTATAAACACTGAGTCGAGAATTTTATTTACTTTAAATTATCCAGTTCTTAGCACTAATACAAAACCCCATCCACAACATATTTCTTTCCAAGTAACTCCTGTGCTCCTGTTTTTAGCAACTCTTATTTACCTGTTACCTAACTCATAGTAATGCTATAGGCGCATGTGTGGCCTAGCCATTTGTATCTCTGTGCACCAGACTGAGGGTAAATCAGCACAGGGTGGGCTTTGTGTGGAAGCGTATATAGCAAATGGGAATTGGTGGTTTCTGTAACAAAATGAAATTAGTTAGAACAGTGACTGGAACATACTTAGCATTCAGTAAGTACTTACTGTTTACAACCACCGCCGGGTTTAAACAGAATAGGGACGTGACTGGGTTTATGTAGAAAGATCACCATGATGGCCGTACCGAGGACGGACAGCCCAAAGGAGAACAGGTGTAAGTCCTGGTACTAGTCTGACAGGGATACTGGGGCCGAACTAGGGCAGTTGGAAGAGATAGAAGAGGTTAGATTTAGGAGCTATTTAGGACAACACATGAGTTAGATTAGATTGGATGGAATTAGGTTCGTTAGGTAGAAGAGGAGTTAGAAGAGCATAGGATGAATATGGTGTCACCGGCTTGGTGATTAGGTAGATGGTTCCGTCACGCATCTAGGTAAGAACTGCAGTGGATCTGGAGTTATGTACTGTGCATGTTGAGTTTGCCTTTGTATTGATAAGGTTTTGTCATGTGTAAGGACCGTATCCTGAGAAGGCTGGGCTGAGTGTAGAAACTGTGAGGCTAAAGGTTTTGCTTATTGCATCTCTGTAGTTTAGTTTGGCATGTTCTTCTGTCCTCGATATATCCTTAAACCGGTAGGTGGATCTGGAGTCCTGATCAGATTTGGGTCCCGTGATGAAGTTGTATATTTACAAAACACCAAAAAACACTGAATAGAACAGCTCAAAGAGAGCAAAGAATACAGAAGCAGGAGTAGTGCAGTGAAAAATTCCATTTGAAAACTTGACTCTGAAGATCAGGCATATCCATAGGAACAGAAAGCACAGTGGTTGTAAGGGCCTGGCTGCCGGGGCACTGAGGAGTGGCTGCCGGGGTGAGGGCTTCTTTCTAAGGTGAAGAAATTAGATGGTGGTGATGGTCGCATAACTCTTAAAACCACTGAATTGCATACTTTAAACAGATGAAGTGTATGGTATGTGAATTAATTTTTCAATAGAGCTGTTATCTTAAAAAAGGACTTTGGATTTGAAAAAGAAGAGGGATACCTAATCCTCAGGCTGGTAGGAAGGAGGTTGGCATGGGTACACATGCTGATAAGTTTGTGAGTGATCCCTCCATAAGCTGTAGACTTACATAGTCAGTTTTCTATTGAATATATCTATCTGGATGTTCTATAGGCATGTCCAACTCAACATCATTGCTGCCCAATAGAAATGTAATGAAAGCCGCATGTAACTGTAAATTTTCTAATAGCCAATTTAAAAAGCAAAAAGACACATGAAATTAATCATTTATTTAATCAAATATATCTAAAATTTAACATTTATTTAATATAAAAATTGTTCATGAGACGTTTTACATTCATTTCTCATCCAAGTCTTTGAAATTCAGTGTGTATTTTACATTTACAGCACATCTCAATTCAGACTCCCCACATTTCAGTGCTCAGTGGCTACATGGGGGTTTTGCCCAGGGTACTGGACAGTGCAGATGAGGAGGGTTAAAGTGGAACTCCCGGACTGCTTCCTGTCTTCTTGATCTCAGTGAACAGTCCCTCTTTCTAAGGCTCATTCTCCTATTTTCCTCCTCCTTCTCATCCACATCAATCACTTTAAGACTCTGTCCCCTAGCAAGGCCATTTTACTCTCTGTTCTGTGAGCTTGACTGTTTTAGGTACCTCATGCAAGTGGAATCGTGCAGTATTTGTCCTTCTGTGTCGGGCTTGTTTCACTTAGCATAATGCACTCCAGGTTTATCCATGTTGTCGCATATGGCAGGATTTCGTTCTTATTTATTTATTATTTATTTTTAGGAAGAGGAAGAGAGAGAGAGAAACATTGATAGCTGCCTTTCGCACAGCCCCTACTGAGGATTGATCCCACAACCCAGGCATGTGTCATGACTGGGAATTGAACCAGCGACCTCTTGGAGCATGGGACGCCTCTCAATCCACTGAGCCATGCCAGCTGGGCAGGATTTCATTCTTTTTTTTTTTTTTCTTCTTCTTTATTGATTTTAGAGAGAGAGGAAGGGAGAGGGAGAGAGAGATAGAAACATCAATGAGAGAGAACATCGATTGGCCCCCTCCTGCATGCTTCCCACTGGGAATTGGCCCACAACCTGGGCACGTGCCCTGACCAGGAATCAAACCCATGACCTCTTGTTTCATGGGTTGACACTCAACCACTGAGTCACACCGGCCTGGCAGGATTTCTTTTTTTTTTTTAAGGTTAAATAATATTCCATTGTGTGTGCGTGTGTACAATATTTTCTTCATTCATTTACCCACTTATGGGCATTTAGGTTGTTTTTGTGTCTTGGCTATTGTGAATAATGCTGCAATAAACATGGGGGTGCAGATATCTCTTTGAGATCCTGATTTCAGTTCTTTTGAACATATACTCAGAAGTGGGATTGCTGGATCATATGGTAGTTCTATTCTAAAATTTTTGAGGAACCACCTGGCCAGTGTGGCTCAGTGGATTGAGTGTTGTCCCATGGTCTGAGAGGTCCCGGTTCAATTCCCGGTCAGGGCACATGCCCGAGTTATGGTCTCAATTCCCAGTAGGGGGTGTGCAGAAAGCAGCTGATGAATGTTTCTGTCTCACATTGATGTTTCTCTCTCTCTCTCTCCCTTCCTCTCTCTTAAAAAAAAAATCAATAAAAACATATTTAAAAAATTGTTTTTCGAGAAACTTTCATATTGTTTTCTGTAGCAACGGTGCCATTTTATAGTCTCACAAATAATGTACAGAAGTTCTAATTTCTCCACATTGTCACCAACACCTATCTTTTTTTTTTTTTTTTTTTAATAATAGCCATCTTAACGGGTGTGAGGTAATGCCTAGTTTTGTTCTGCATTTTCGTGATGATTTGTAATGTTGAGTATCTTTTCATATACCTGTTGGCCGTTTGTAAGTTTTCTTTGGAGAAATGTCTATTCATATTCTTTGCCTATTTAATTGGGTTATTCAGTTGTTGTTTTTCTCTTGAGTTATGGGAGTTTCTTGGATATTTTGGATATTAACCCCTTATCAGAAAAAATAAAGGGCTTGTGCATGTTTTCTCCTGTTACCTAGGCTGCTGTTCTGTTGTGTTGATTGTTTCACTTGGCTCTCACTCCAGCAGGTCTTCCTCTTCCAGGTCAGACCACATGCCCCTCTTTCCAGTTCCCACAGAACTTGTGAAGAACTCTGACTTGACACTTACCTTATTATATTGAATTACTTGTCATTATTTGCCTGTTCTGTCTCTCTCCCATCCCCTATGACTCACTGAGGGAAAGGATTTTGCCTCAATTATCATTTTTGTACTGCCAATCACTAGTACGGTTCTTGGCATATAGTTTGCACTCAGTTTAATAGAACTAAACTGAACCCCTGAAAATTTTAATGATTAAGTTATCAAAGTTTGGGCCTAGGCATTAAACAAACTTGAAATTAAAGACTTAGGTTCATTTTTTTCCCCCTTAGGTCCATTATTAATGGGTCCATTATTAATACCAATAACCTCTGTTTGAAAATTCAGTAGATAAATGAAACTGAGAATAATGGTACTTTTAATTTAGGTGAAAAAGAGCTCTAGTATATAGAATACAAAAAGATAAGTATTGACCAGTATATAAGCTACGAAGGCAGAGTTTTTATCTGTTCTTCTCATGGATTATTCCCAGTATGTAGAACAGTGCCTAGATAGTAAGTAACTGGTCAGTAAATATTTATTGAATAAACAGATAATATACATAAGAAAAGCACTTCAGCTTCGTATTTTATAAACATTTCTTCATCTCTAATTCAATTAAAACTTACCACTTGAAGCAAAAATCAAATTACTGTCTTCTCATTTTATTGTTATGTAAAGGAAGTCTCTAAGTAAATATAATGGAGTATAAATGTTTTTTTTTTTTTTCTTTTTTAGTAAACGAAGCAAAAAAGGAGATAAAAATGGAAAAGGCTTGAGACATTTTTCAATGAAAGTGTGTGAGAAAGTTCAACGGAAAGGCACAACATCATATAATGAAGTAGCTGATGAACTGGTATCAGAGTTCACCAATTCAAATAACCACTTGGCAGCTGATTCGGTAGGTAGATCATGCATTTGACATTGACTGTGATGAGTGATGCAACAGTGTACTTCTTTGGGTTATTTGTGTCACTGATTTGAGAACAGACAAGCAAGGGAATTCCCAATTCCTCCTTTACTTGAGGGTTTCATATTGTCGGTTGGGAAATTTTTGTTGTTGATATTTTGTTTGTTTTGTTTTGTAAAGAATTTTTGTTGTTGGTGGTTTAATTTGTTTGTTAATCGTCACCCAGAGGATATTTTTTCATCAATTTTTATTTTTATTTTTTAATTTTTTAAAAAATCTTTATTGTTGAATGTATTACAGATGTTCCCCATTTTCCCTCCATTGACCCCCCCTCCTCCCCACTCCCACCCCCCCCCTCCTGCCTTTTCCCACACTATTGTCTGTATCCATTGGTTATGCATATAAATTCTTTGGTTTACTTCTTCCCACCCCTCAACCCCTTTCTCTTTGAGGTTTGTCAGTCTAGCAATGAATTTGTACTTCTTAACTCCTTCACCTTTTTCACCCATTCCCCCAACCCCCCTCCCATCTGGCAACCAACAAAATGTTCTCTGTATCTATGAGACTGTTTCTGTTCTGCATGTTCATTTTGTTTGTAGATGCCATTGTCGATAGATACGTGTTCATTGCCATTTTGTTTGTTTATATATTTTATCTTTTTCTTCAAAAAGAACCTTCAACATTTCATATAATAACGGTTTGGTGGTGATGAACTCCTTTAACTTTTTCTTGTCTGGGAAAGTCTTTATATGGCCATTGATTCTAAATGACAGCTTTGCAGAATAGAGTAATCTTGGTTGTAGGTTCTTGCTTTTCATCACTCTGAATATTTCTTGCCGCTTCCTTCTGGCCTGCACGGCTTCTTTTGAGAAATCAGCTGACAGCCTAATGGGAACTCCCTTGTAGGTAACTAGCTGCCTTTCTCTTGCTGCTTTTAAGATTCTCTCTTTGTCTTGAACCTTTTGCATTTTGATGATGATGTGTCTTGGTGTGGGCCTCTTGGGGTTCATCTTGTTTGGGACTCTGTGCTTCCTGGACTTGTATGTCTGTTTCCTTCACCAAGTTAGGAAAGTTTTCTGCCATTATTGTTTCAAACAGGTTTTCAATTTCTTGTTCTCTCTCTTTTCTTTCTGGCACCCTCAAGATGCGAATGTTGGCACGCTTGAAGTTGTCCCAGAGGCTCCTTACGCTATCCTCATTTTTTGGGCTTCTTTTTTCTTTTTGCTGTTCTGATTGGGTGTTTTTTGCTTCCTTATATTCCAAATCAATGGTTTGCTTCTTGGATTTACATACTCTACTATTGAATCTGTGTAAATTATTCTTTATTTCAGTTAATGCCTCCTTCATTTCTGACTGTGCATCCATCATTTCTGACTGGTCCTTTTTAATGATCTTGAGGCCCTCACTAAGTTCACTGAGCATCCTTATAAGCAGAATTTTTTTTTTTTTTTTTTAATCCTCACCCGAGGACATTTTTCCATTTTTTGTACAGATAGAGTGGGAGGGAGAGAGAGGAAGAGAGAGAGAGAGGGAAACATCGATGTGAAAGGGACACATCGAGTGGCTGCTACCCGCACGACCAACCAGGGCCGGGGACAAACTGCAACCGAGGTACATGCCCTTAGCGTGAACCGAACCCGGGTCTCTCCGGACCGCAGGCGGATGCTCTAACCGCTGAGCCAAACCGGCCAGGGCTATAAGCAGAATTTTGAACTCAGCATCTGTTAGGTTGCTTATCTCCATTTCACTTAGTTCTTTTCTTGGGGTTTTGTTCTGTTCTTTCATTTGGGGCCTGCTTCTTTGCTCCTTATTTTGGCTGCCTCCCTGTGTTTGTTTCTGTGAATTACTTAATGAGAGGTATGGGGCTATCTGAGAGCAGATGCTGCTTGTTTGAAAGAATTTAGGAAAACCTGAAGCAGGATCCAAGACAGGCCAATCCTATGGTTAAGCAACTGGCAACAGCTTGGGTGGGCTTGAAAGTTGGGTGGGGCAGGGCCTCAGGAAATCACCAGTGTGAGCCAGGTTGCTGGAATCCCAGATATGGTGGCTGTCTGCCGCCCCAGGGAAGGGCTCACCAAAGGAACAAAGGCCTCTGACAGCACGTTTGTCCTGGAGAAAGCCCCCTCTCCAGTCCTCGCTCCAGTGCCAAACAGCTCAGTTCTTCCTTGTATGCCTCTGGCGCCCCTCGAGCTGCCTCCCCTCCAAGCTTAGAGGGAGAGAGTCCGATAAGTCCGTGCGCGGGCCCTTTAAGGAGCTGCCTGGGGCTCCAGCTGCCTCAGCCTCCCTGAGCCTCAGTTCCCACTGGTTTTTCCAGCCAGAAGTTATGGGGACTTCTCTTCCTGGCACTAGAACCCTGAGCAGGGCGTCTGGTGTGGGTCGGGGACCCCTCAGTCCTCAGGGAGGACCTTCCAAGCCTAGGTGTCCTCCTGATTTTTATCCGCCACACGTGGGTGTGGGACCAGCCCGTCCGCCTCCGCCCCTCCTACCAGTCTGGATGTGGCTGCTGCTTTAATTCCGTAGCTGTAGGACTTCCATTCAGCTTGATTTCAGGCGGTTTTGAATGATGGTTGTTCTTTAGTTTAGTTGTAACTTTGATGTGGTTGTGGGAGGACACAATACCACGTTTACCTACGCCACCATCTTGACCGGAAGTCTTTTATCAATTTTTAGACAGAGCGGAAAGGAAGGAGGGGGAGAGACATTAATGTGAGAGAGACACGTCGGTTAGTTGCCTCCTGCATGAATTTAGAGGCTTTCTTTTTATCTTTCTCTTTATTCCATTAGAGGTTTAATAGCATTGGATGTCTTTTCTGGTCCCTGAAATTTTATAGAAATCATCTGTGATACCATCTGGGACTGGTGGTTTGGTGCAGCCTAAAGCTTAGATTGGTTTCATCATTCTTTCTTTGATAAACTGTCTATTTAGAATTTGTTTCTATAGAGAGAGAAAGGGAGAGAGAGATAGAAACATCAATGTGAGAGAAACATCAATCGGCTGCCACCTGCACTCTCCCTACTGGGGATTAAGTCCACAACCCTGGCATATGCCCTGACTGGGAATCGAACCAGGACCTCTCAGTCCATTGGACAATGCTCAGTTCACTGACTCACACAAGCTGGGCTAGAATTTCTCTTAATCAGTTTAGTATTTTATGACTTTTAGAAAATCCTCCATTTCATCCTGTTTTCAAAATTATTTGCAATTATTTTTCCTGAAGAACCATTTCTTGGATTTATTTGTAGTGACCTTCTATTTTGCAGTTAATTTCTGTTTTAATCTTTATTTAATATTCTCTTTCCTGGAGTTACTTTTGTTGTTTTTCTACCTTGCAGGCTATGATTTATACTTTATTTACTTTTATTATTTTTGTTTAGTAATGAATGTCTTTATGGCTGTGACTTTTCCTCTTCTTACTGCTTTGGATCCCATTGATTCTGGTAGAACGTTATTCTTTGACCAAATTATATTTGAAAGAGTTCTTATAGTTTCTGGTGATAGGGTGTTTTGTTTGTTGTTATAAATTTTTACATTTGTTACCTGTGAACTATTTCTTTATTTTAATCCTTACCCAAGGATATGTTTTTATTGATTTTAGAGAGAGAGGAAGGGAGAAGGAGAAAAAGAAACATTAGTTGCCTCCCATATGCACCCTGACCAGGAATCAAACCTGGACCCTCTCATGCATGGGACAACACTCCAACCAACTGAACCACGCTGGCCAGGACTGTATTTCTTTTTCTTTCTTGTTTTCTTCTTTTTATTGCTATGAGATTTTCCTTGTGAGCCATATTATATATGGTGATTTTTGTTTTTTTCTTTTAATGTCCTCTAGGCTCTTGGGGAAAAAGTATATGGCATTCTGACTCTGAGTGAAAGACAGAGTTCTCAAAATGATCTGCAAGACTCTATGTGATCTGGCCCACCATTACTTCTCTGATCTCTTCTCCTACTATGCACTCTCTCAGTTACTACACATTTTGTGACTATGCCAGATATGCTCCTTATCAGGCCATTGTACTTCCTATTTCCTTGCCTGTAACACTCTTCGCTAGGGATCCATGTGTTTTCTCTCTCCTGCCCTCAAATTTTCACTCATTCACTCAGATGTCACTACAATAAGGCATTTCTTCTAACCACTTTCAACAGCTAACGTACATATTTATTAACCCCCCATCGCCACCCCCTGGGTATAAACACAAGTTGGGTTTTTTCCTTGTTTATTCACTACTCTCATTTTTAACTTTAAGTAACTTTTCAATATTTTGTTTCTTGAGTTATCACCTATAGACTAGTATCTGTTGATTATGGAAGGAAAAAGAAGTTAATATGCTTATATTTACTCCTATCTCCCGTCTTTCCCTTCTACACAGGATTCAGATTGAATGTATAAGTGGTATTTGTTAAAAGAATATTATTATAATTGTTTTAATTATTTTAAATAAATATATTGTGCCAAAAGCTCTATTATAACTTAGTTTATCTGCTTTGAATAGTTCATTTGCTTTGAATCCATATCTCTTCCAATATCAAAGAGGAGGAAATCAGCCCTGGCTGGTTTGTTTCAGCGGTTAGAGTGTCGGCCCACGGTCCAGAGAGACCCGGGTTCGGTTCCCGCTAAGGGCACATACTTGGTTGCAGTTTGTCCCTGGCCCTGGTTGGGTTAGGGTTAGGGTTAGGGTTAGGTCCCCGGGTCACCTCTCTAACCACTGAGCGGAGCTGGCCAGAGCATCCACTATCCTTTATTATCGGGGCATTTGATTGATTGAATTTTGTTCCTAGGAACTACCCATTCATTCATGATAAGATAAAGGGCTTTTTCCACAGTATTAAGTTAACACAGTTTCCTTTATTGAGAAATTCTTACTATCCCGTCGCCCCCCAAAAAAGTCAGCTGAATGAAACATTGTGCTTTAGTGATCTATGTGATGGCATTGTGGTGCAAGATTCCTTTTTCACTGTAAGCTAGTAACAATGTGCAGATCAGTACTAGTCCGTGGACCACATTTTGAGATGACTGTTTACCTAGAGCTTAAAACATGCATCCTTGACTTTTCAAAGTCTAATATCCTCCCACACAATGCAAGGACTTAGCCCACTTTAACTCCATTTCCCCTTTCTGCTCTATATCCGATTGTTGTCATGTATATCAGCTTTATATTCTAGACTCCACAAACATTGTTTTTTCATACAGAGCAGTACCTGAGATTTCCCCTCATAGTCACCGTTTGAGTTGGTCTCCATTCCATCCTACATTCCGACCTCTGTCCTAGGTCATCTCTCTTCTCCCTGAAGAAGGCCCATTAATAATTTTTAAATTTAGATCTATTGGTAACATAATCTTTATTTTTTAAAGATTTTTTTATGTTTTAGATTGTTTAAAACTATCTTTAGCTCTGGCCGGTTTAGATCCGTGGTTAGAATGACGGCCCGTGGACCAGAGAGACCTGGTTTAGTTCCCACTAAGGGCACGTACCTCAGTTGCAGTTTGTCCCCGGCCACGGTTGGGGTCGTGTGGGTGGCAGCCAGTCGATGTATCTCTCTCACATTGATGTTTCTCTCTCTCTCTCTTCCTCCCTCTCTCCCTCCTGCTCTATCTGAAGATAAATGCAAAAAATGTCCTCGGGTGAGGATAAAAAAAATAAATAAATAAATAAATAAAACTATCTTTATTTCATCTTTACTTTTGAAGGACAGTTTCACTGGGTATAGAATTCTTTCGGCGCTTTGAAGACATTAGATATTAATTAGATATTTTAATATCTTGTGACTGTATCCTAATCCTTAACTTTTATCATTTAATAAAAATATTTTTTAGCAGGCTTATGACCAGAAGAACATTAGGCGAAGAGTTTATGATGCTTTAAATGTGCTAATGGCAATGAATATAATTTCAAAAGAAAAAAAAGAAATCAAGTGGATTGGCCTACCTACCAACTCTGCTCAGGAGTGTCAAAACCTAGAGGTAAGGAAGGAAAATCTGCTTATATAAAGAAGTTAGCTTTATTTTACATCAGAGGTGTTTTAATTTAGAAATGTAGTCACATGATAGTAAAATATTTCCAATTGTCTGTGTACATTAGTAATTTTTTAAAACAATCATTTAGGTAGGATTTTAGAACTAGAAGGAAATTTAGAGATCTATAGTAATCTGACTGTTGTCCTGATGAAACTGGGGACTTAGAAATTAAATGACCTCACTTTCACTGTTTCTTAGAGAAGATCTTTGTTTAATTCTCATTTAATTCTGAGCACTCTGATAATAAATTTTTGGTGATTTGCGTAATAGAAATTATATCTTATTTGATGTAATGCTTGCTGTATGGATCCCCCCAAAATGAATGAAGCTGTCTATTTATTGCTTATGTTTAAACTTTTACTTTTGACTCTAGAATCAATAGCAACAGAATGGTATTTCATTTGTATCTTTATCAGAATGGATCAAATGTTCAGCAGTTACGTGAATTTGGACATGATGTGTGCAAAAGCATTTTTTATTGTTAACTTTAATCATTATAGAAAATCTTTCCGAAGTGAACATGTTCCCTGACACACTATTTCCAAATCTGACATACTTTTATTGTGGTGGCCATAAAGGGAATAAACTGAGGTTAACGATCACTTATGGAGATAAATATGGTTGATTTCATGTTTTCCTCATTATCTGGTATCATTATACTTGTGGATGGAGGGAGAAACCAGACATTTATCAGACGTTATAGGACAGTTTTATTTATATGTTGTGGTGCAAATGCCCTTCTTTTCAATTCTTCTGATAGACTGGAATTTGAGGATCATTTTAATTACTGCTGATGTTAAGCTGATAGCAAAAATCTATCAGCATCTGCCATGTGCTTAACCAAAGAGTATAAAGACAAAAATCTCTGACTCAGGGAGCTTTCATTCTAATTGAGAAGAGAAATATAAAAGGAGTTACCAGAAATGTGATTACTACTGTGAAAGGAGAATGTGCAGATTCTCTCGGAGATAATGGAAGGCTTTACCAAGAAAAACAAAATCTCTGAGCTTAGTCATGAGGGAGGAGTAGGCGTTGCCACGCGGGTCAGGGCACCGAGGGCCTTCGGGGCAGAGGCCCTGCCTGGGCTGAGGCGGGCAGCGGAAAGCATGCCCACAGCTGGGTGTGGCCAGAGCACAAGCCAGCAGAAAGGGGGTAGATTTCTAAGTGCTAAGCCCTTGGGACCTGAGCCTATAAACGAAGGGAAGCTAGGATGTATTCTGCAAGGCTCTACTAGTGGGTTGGAAGTTGAAGTGACAGGAAGAGGGGGAAGTTGAAGGGGCGGATTGGCGATGGTCTGTGGTGAGGCAGGGGCGGTGAGGCTGAGGAGGTTTTAGAGGTTGAATCAGTACAACCTGGGGGGGCAGGGGGGGCCGGTGGGAGCCTGACCTGTCACTGCTTCAGGTTCAGGGCGAGACTCCTACAACAACTTTTCAAGTGTAGAAGGCCACACAAATTGTAGTTCATCTAAAGTAATTTAGGATTAAAGCGTGGTCGTGGTTGGAGGGATGAGGGGGAACTCCTGGTGCAGACTAGAGTGGACAGGGGCAAGTAAGAAATGCTGTCTTGGGGTAGACAAGGAAAATGTGTCATTCATTGGACGTCACTGACTTTCGTCAAAGAGACAGTTAGGAACTCATCCGCAAGGATATTCATTCAGACCCTAATATCTGTTCTCTAGGTAGTTGTCAGAGCGAGGAGAATGAAGTTTCTTCGAAGCTGGGACATTTGTCCCAATAGCATGTTTCTTACTACAGCCGGAATTGTATATTGACTATGTAATCTATCTGTATCATCAGCTGTGCTCATTTAAGTCAGTTAAAATACAGTATACCAAATTTGCCTCAATAATAAAAAAAAAGTAAAAGAAGAAGAGGAAGGAAGGAGAGAGAAAGGGAGAGAGAGAAATCTGGTGTACTTTCTCTTATCAGGAAAGTGATATTTACATGTGAAACAGGAAATGATACAAGGTAGTATAGGATCAAAAGGCACCCTCTACACGGTCAGGGCCAAGTGTGGACGCATCAGCAGCCCTGTGCATCGTCTGGAAGGAGAGCGTTAGTACTGACTGGGTTACTGGGAAATACACTGACTAATGAGCACGCAAATTGGCAAAACTGTTTTGGAGGGGACTTTGTCTCAGAAGCCCCAAATACTGCATATATTCTTTAACCCGGCAATCAGCCATGTGGTTTCTAACAGGAAAAAAAAAAAAAAGCAAGTAAATTAAATGTTTAAATAAATAAATATAATGTAAAGTAAAAATAAAAGTCAGTTAAACTGAGATCTTAAATAAGATTTTACCTCACTGTTGGTGGGGGCGGGTGGTAATGTACCAAAGCAGTTAATATTAGGGTCTGTGGAACCAGATAGCTGAGGTTCTTGCCCAGCACTGAGCTGAGTGCCCTTGGGCAGCTGTTTAATCCTCTAAGCCTCCATTTCCTTACCAAGATGGGTAGCAACAGGACTTACCTCATACGTAGGTCCTGTGAAGATGAACTGAGACGTGTGCGCAGTGCTGAGTACTGAGCTGGCACACAGAGTAACTGTTCCTGAGCCTTAGCTCTCGCTCTGCTGGAACTTCAGTAATACATAGCAGCGAGCACTGCACACCAAGTTCGCATTAAGCGGATGGATTTCATTACTGGTAACAGTTGCCACAGTTCTGCTCTCTTGGGCCTGCTCGCTCACCCCAAACCCTGTCCCCCAAAGAGGGGTGGTTTGCCTTTATTGATGCTGGTGGTTAAAATGGGTTAGTGGTTAAAATGGGTTACATTTCTCGAAAGAAAATTCTTGATATCTCAGAATTGGGACCCAAAAATGAGCAGTACTTTACAATCTACATGTATGTTCATGTTATTTTGTAACCTGTGTTTTAAAGATAGAGAAGCAGAGGCGGATAGAACGGATAAAGCAGAAGCGGGCCCAGCTGCAAGAGCTCCTCCTGCAGGTAAAGATGCTGGGATGTGTTTCCTTACCTTCGCTACCTGCGTTCAGCTTCTCCACGTACCTGCTTTTAGAGTCAGTGTTTCCTGCTTTGGGTGCCTTTGAAGTAGTGTCTGGTGGGACCACAGAAGGGCGGCCTCCCACAACCCAGCCCATGCCATCCACAGGGTCTGCCTTTAAGCTGGTTCCGTCTCTCACCATCATCAGGGCCAGGGGCCAGAGCCCCACAGCCGCTCACCTGCCCCGTGTGTGACTTCTGTTCTACAACAGTTTACTTTTTTATTTATTTATTTATTTATTTATTTATTTATTTTTTTAATCCTCACCCGAGGACATTTTTTGTTCAGATAGAGCGGGAGGGAGAGAGAGGAAGAGAGAGAGAGAAACATCGATGTGAAGGGACACATCGAGTGGCTGCCACCCGCACGACCAACCAGGGCCGGGGACAAACTGCAACCGAGGTACGTGCCCTTAGCGGGAACCGAACCCGGGTCTCTCTGTACCGCAGGCCGACGCTCCAACCGCTGAGCCAAACCGGCCAGGGCTACAACAGTTTACTTTTGACACCTATCTTTACTCTGAACAGAAACTGTTTGGAGTGTGTGTGTGCGCACATGCGTGTGTGTTTTAGTCCTAATTTGGAATAACCAGATAAAAAGCTACTTAAATTTTAGGAATATGGAGTAAAAAATCAAATCCACTAGTAATACTTAACTATTTATAAGTAACAATAACATGCAGTGAGTGACTCAGTAAGCTTTTAAAAATATCACACCGCCCTGCCGGTGTGGCTCAGTGATTGAGCATCGACCCTCGCACCAAGAGGTCGCCAGTTCGATTCCCGGTCAGGGCACGTGCCCAGGTTGTGGGCCCCATCCCCAGTGGGGGCCATGCAGGAGGCAGCCAATCGATGTTCTCTCTCATCAGTGTTACTATCTCTCTCTCCCTCTCCCTTCCTCTCTCTAAAAATCAATAAAGAAAAAAATATATATCAAACCTTAAATGCAGTTCTGTTTAAAAGAAAATTAAATTTTATAGTGTAACAAGGCTCCTTATATTTATACTTTTTTGGATAGTTGCCTAGAGTTTGGATGATTTTTAAAAATATAATAGAGCCTTTATATAAAATTGTGTGAGGTAGCCCTGGCCGGTTTGGCTCAGCGGTTAGAGCGTTGGCCTGCGGTCTGGAGAGACCCGGGTTCGGTTCCCGCTAAGGGCACGTACCTCGGTTGCAGTTTGTCCCCGGCCCTGGTTGGGTTGTGCGGGTGGCAGCCACTCGATGTGTCCCTTTCACGTCGATGTTTCTCTCTCTCTCTCTCTCTCTCTCCCCCTCCCTCCCACTCTATCTGAACAAAAAATGGAAAAATGTCCTCCGGTGAGGATAAAAAAAAAAAAAAAAAAAAAAATTGTGCGAGGTAAAATCACAGGGTAGATGGACTTTTTTTTCCTACTGTTGGTGATTTTAAATTGGTGTAAAAATTCACTGTGAGCCATACAGTGGAGCTATTTTCAGTCCAGTAAAAAAAAAAAAAAACTTTGTTAAATGAGTCAGGAAATCTATGCCTTTGCTTTTATCCACAATTGTCTTTATTTGAAAACTTTCAACCAATCACAAAATCAACTTTGATTTGAAAACTCTATCTAGGTCATTTAATTCTTGGTATAATCTACTTTTCAGAAATAAAGATAGCAAGAAGTTACCAGGTTTTTCCCCTAAAATAGTCGCTTTGTTAAAATATGTTAAATATTGGTAAATATTTCAGATTCTGTGTTTCACTTTCTAGGTGCTTATATTTGGTTTTGGTTTTTCTTTCCCATTCGTGTGTAAGTCAGAGGGCAGGAGGACAGTGCGGCCCTTCCAGACATCCTGTCTGATCTGAGACGCCCAGGGCCAGGGCAGAGCGCAGCCGGTGGAGCAGGGCCTCTCTGCACGTGGGGAGCCCGGAGAAGGCGTCCACCCTGACCGGGCCCCTCTCCCATTCTGTATTCGGTGTCTGCTTTTCACACTGAATGAACTCTGGGGCACCCGCCTCTGGGGGAGGCATTTTGTGTGTTTTCATACGGGTTCTCCAAATAAGATTTTGTTTGAAGAGAGTATTCTGCAGCTTTAAAAAAGGCCTTGAGCCCTGGCTGGTTTGGCTCAGCAATTGAAGCATCAGCTTGTGGACCGAGGAGGCGCGGGTTCGATTCCGGTCAGGGGCAGGTACCTCAGTTATGGTTCGTCCCTGACCCTAGTCAGAGTCATGAGGGGGGCAACCAATCGATGTGTCTCTCTTACATTGATGTTTCTCATTTTCTCTGTCTTTCTCTCCCCCTCCCTCCCACTCTATCTGGAGATAAACAGAAAAAAAAAATCCTCAGATAAGGATTAAAAAAAAAATTAAAAAGGCCTTGAGCCCAGCCAGTGTCCATTCCCGGTCAGGGCACATGCCTGGGTTGCAGGCTTGATCCCCAGTAGGGGGCGTGCCAGAGGCAGCTGATTGATGTTTCTCTCCCTTCCTCTCTCTCTAAAAAAAAATCAATAAAAACATATTTTTTAAAAAAGGATGCATGTTACTGTGTCTTTAAAATAAAATAAAAATAAAAAGTACCTTGAAAGGTGACCATGTATTCCTGTTCCCACAGCTCCTCCCTATAGGGTCCTGCCCTCCTGTAGATCTGGCCTGCCAGCACATGTGTCTTAACTCCTGCATTGTCACTTTCTTCCCCTAGCTGCCTGCCTGTTTTGTCCCTGTCCCTGCAAGTTAGCTGCAGCATTTCCCTGTCCACTCATGGTCCCTAAACCCCGGGCTGCACCTTCCTCAGATTTCCTCAAAAGTGTCGTGGAACATCTTGGAGCTTGATTTTTGGCATATGTTATTTTAAAGATCTGTTTCTCGGTATACTTGTAATTATGTGTTTGTCAGAGAGAACGATGCTAGCCAAGATCGCCCCCATATGTGTGTTTTCTTAAGTTCTAAATTTTTTTTCCCCGTCTATGGTCTCTCAAACCAAATATTTATAGAAGATTTCAACCCAGGGCAACCTAGCTGTCAACATTTATAAAAGCAGGTCTCTCTATTGAAGTGAAACCCAGAGTATAACTGAAAACAACTACTTCTGCTCTTCTGTGTACACATAGCTTATTTCCTCCTGGTGTTTTGTTTTTCTTTTCTTCATCAAATAACACGGATGAAGTTGTCACAGAAAAGGAAATTAAACAAGCCGTCCCTGAACATTAATAATTTGCCATGGCTGAGCAAACTTAACTTTTTTAACAGTTAATGTCAGAACTCGCGGACCCCGCAGGGCATAGTAGGTGCTACTGACATGCCTCTTTCTCATTCTCAGAGCAGAGGGAGGTGGGATGCGGAGTGTCCCCCGGTCTAGATGCCTGCTTAGTCTGCGCGTGACCCCTCCGCCCTCACACCCTGTCCCGCCTCTGAAGTAGATGTTAATGGGCTGGAAAAGAACCCAAGGCTGAAAGAAATCCAAAGAAACAAATAAGGAAATCAGTCCAAAACAAATGGCAGGGGATTTTTCTTTTTACTATCAACATAACATATATGTGTTTTTACTGCTCTCCTTCCCCTGAAAAATCTTTGATGCTATTAAACATACGCAGTATTGGACAGTGAATCATAAACGTGTAAGAACTCGGACTTACCACTGTTAATGTTTCCCTCTGCTGTGGCCACAAGGGGCAAAGTAGGGGAGTATTTCCCAAGGTGCTTTTCTACCAGAAGGAAGAGGAGCGAGGCTGAGGTTTTTACACATGTAATTCTTTTTCTCAGTTTTACAGTTTCAGCATGCTTTCTTCAATATTAAATGAATTAAGCAGTAAATATAAAACAGCCTGTTCTTTGGCAGCGGAAGATAACGAAGTATGACTTAAGTAACATTTGATAATGGTGTTGTAGTGACAGTTTCTTCACTGTGATTTTTGGACACACGTTAGGGCTACAATAAATTGGTGTCCCTTCTGTTTTATTCATTTTAAATGAGTAAATGACCTGGCTGGTGTGGCTCACTGGTTGAGCATTGACCCATGCAGCAAGAGGTCGCTGGTTTGATTCCCGGCCAGGGCACATTCCCAGGTTTTGGGCCCAATCCCCTGTGGGGGACATACAGGAGGCAACTGATCGATGTTTCTCTCTCACATTGTTTTTTCTCTCTCTTTCCCTTACCTCTCCCTTTATTATTATTATTATTTTTTTTTATCCTGAGGACATTTTTTCATTTTTTGTTCAGATAGAATGGGAGGGAGAGAGAGGAAAGAGAGAGAGAGAGAGAGAAACATCGACGTGAAGGGACACATCGAGTGGCTGCCACCCGCCCGACCAACCAGGGCCGGGGACAAACTACAACTGAGGTACGTGCCCTTAGCGGGAACCGAACCCGGGTCTCTCTGGACCGCAGGCCGATGCTCTAACTGCTGAGCCAAACTGGCCAGAGCTCTTACTCTCTCTTTAAAAAAGAAATCAGCCCTAGCCTGTTTGGCTCAACGGTTAGAGCATCGGCCTGCAGAGCAGAGAGTCCCGGGTTCGGTTCCTGCTAAGAGCACGTACCTTAGTTGCAGTTTGTCCTCAGCCCTGGTTGGGAACCGGGGTCATGTGGGTGGTAACCACTCGATGTGTCTCTCTCACATCGATGTTTCTCTCTCTCTTCCTCCTGTTCTATCGGAAGATAAATGCAAAAATGTTCTCGGGTGAGGATAAAAAAAAAAAATTAAAAGGGTAAATGTTCATTTTTAGGGAGATAACACCCAGCCATTTTAAGATAATAATAATCTTAAACTTTAGTTAAGACCCAGAACCTGACATAAACAGTCCTGGGTTAAGATCGCTAGGACACGGAAAAGCTGACACCGGGCGAGAAGTGGAACCAGGGGCCGGCCCTGCGGGAGCGTCACACCGGCGCCGTGTCGGGGTGTCCCAGCCGTGGGATTCGGAGACACGTTTGCCCTATTACAAAGCGGGGCCACTTCTTTGACTTTTGAGTAAGGGTTTTAACCAAAAGTAGCAGCAGAATTTGCTCCAAAGATTCAGGCCCTGACATATCTTACCCCTGCTAAGCCTGTTTCCACGCCCTCGAAGTTCCGTGGGGGGTCCTGAGGGGCGAGCGAGGGCAGAGCGGGGGGCTCGGCGCCCGGCCACGGCCCCCAGCAGAGCAGCGCTGCCTTCGTCTGTCCTATAAAGTGGGTGTCTCGTAAGATTTCATGGGGAGAAAGGGTCCTGTGGCTTCGTGGAGTTTGCATGTCACCGCGCTAGACAGTCTGGACGACGTCCCGAGCCCTGAGCTCCCCGAGCTGCGCCGGCTGGGTGGACACGAGCTCACCGCGTGTCTCCGCCGCCGCGTCACTCGCGCTAAGAGCCGCAGGTGCCCCGCAGGTGCCGCTGGACCGCGGTGCAGGGTTCTGCTTCCGTGGCTGACGGAACCGTCGGCCCTGTTGTTTACATTAGGATGGTGTTAGGCACCATTTAAATGCATATTTTCCCCTTGAAATATATTATTGAGTTGGATCATTCTAATCTTTTTTTCTTAAATGTTTAATTCACCTGTAGGTGGAAGCCCTCTTTAAACTCCCTAATCTTAAACTAGATTTTCGATGTATTTATCTTAACTTATTTATTTTCAACTCACTTATCCACATTAAATGACTGTGTTCTTTTTTTTTTTATCGATCATCACAGCAAATCGCTTTCAAAAACCTGGTGCAGAGGAATCGGCAAAACGAACAGCAGAACCAGGGCCCCCCAGCTCTGAACTCCACCATTCAACTGCCATTTATAATCATCAACACAAGCAGGAAAACAGTCATAGACTGCAGCATCTCCAGCGACAAGTGAGTGCAGAACCAGGGGGAGATCCGGGGACCTTCTGTTAATGTAGTCCTCTCATTTGCCAAATAAAGGAGAAGTACTCCATTACGCCGTCCTCCAAGGCGGACTCGGTGGGCTGGGAAACACCGCATCAGACATAGAGTGCTGTCAGCTTCGGGGTGGCTCCGTCACTCCCGCGCCGGCCCTCAACCGCGTGCTGGCACTGTGTGCGGGTGACAGGCAAGGTGGCGCCTGGACCCAGCCAGGATGTGCATGTGTGCACATGCATGTGGACAGCTGTGGGCAAGTGACTGCAGCCAGGCGGGCCGTCAGTGAGGGTCTGGCACAGGAGGCTCGCTGGTGAGTCACCGTCATCGTTTATTGTGGGAGCATTTCAGATCAACATGTGGCGTTAAAGCTATGACTTCTTTGTTTTGCTATAGCATAGTTGAATGAGCTGTTTGTTGATGGCTGAATAGACATGAAAATGCTAGATGCATTCTCTGCTTTTTTTTTTTTTTAGTCTTATAACTGGAAGTTAATATTATTTTCCCACCTTCATCTATTTCGCCCACCTGCCCCGTTCCCCATCCCTGGCCACCACCAGTCTGTTCTCTGTATCTATGAGTTCAGTGTTTTTAGATTCCACATATAAGAGATCATTCAGTATTTGTCTTTCTCTGAATTATTTCACTTAGCATAATGCCCTCGAGATCCATTCATGTTGTCGCAAATGGCAGAGTCCCCCTCTCTTTTTTTTAATGGTTGAATGTTTCATTGTATATATACCACATTTTCTTTATCCATTCATTCATTGATAATGCAAAATTAATGTGTAATTTACTTTACCCTTATGAAAATAGTTTATGTCATTGGTCATCGGGCTTGCCCAGTATGGTGAGTTAGTTACAGGAGCAGGAGGCAGAGTGTGACAGACCCAAGTGTGGGTTGTGGCTCCTCCATTTAGCTGCTCCAAAGCTCTGTTTTCTGAAGAACAAATGGGGGTGATACCCACTTCTTCACCTTGTGGTGAGGATTAAATGAGAGAATTCCTATAAAGGGTTGGACTCAAAGCAAGCAATTTAAAAATGTTCAGTGCTGTTATAAAGGAGTAGCAGGAAACCTGGGAGTCATTGGCCTGAGGGCTTTACAGCTTCTATTCACCCCTGGCTGGGGTCCGGTAAGGTTTCCGTCCTTGGGTGGTGACTGCCTCATGTTCTTCCCTGGCCATCCCCTGCATGGAGAGAGGAGACTCTAAGAAGCTTGTTAGAAGTTTGTTATTCGTTGAGGTCCTAAAACCTGTCTTTCCGTTACTTTGGTGATGTAATCTTTCCCCATTAATTAGCCAGGTGGTTCTCTCACTATGAAGATTAAATTGACAGAACCGTCTGCTTCTTTTTTTTTTAATCCTCACCTGAGGACACTTCTTCATTTTTTTGTTCAGATAGAGCGGGAGGGAGAGAGAGGAAGAGAGAAAGAGAGAAACATCGATGTGAAAGGGACACATCGAGTGGCTGCCACCCGCACGACCAACCAGGGCAGGGGACAAACTGCAACCAAGGTACGTGCCCTTAGCGGGAACCAAACCCGGGACTCTCTGGACCGCAGGCCGACGCTCCAGCCGCTGAGCCAAACTGTCTAGGGCAGAACCCTCTGCTTTGAATGTACATCTGAAATAATCTCTGTGGCCAGCACCGGCTTCAATTTTTTTTTTAATTCTGAAAATGTATTAATGTACTTTATTCAGATTTATATACTTAATTATTTAAATATGGCATTTTGCTTTAAATTGCCGTTTTTGCCCTCATCTAAGATCTAGCATAGAAAGTTTTACCCTCACATGAATTTAATATAATTTTTTTTCCTTTCTATTTTAGAGAGAGAGGAAGGGAGGCAGAGAGGGAGAGAGCGAGAGAAAGAGAGAAATATCAATGAGAGAGAGAAATATAGATTGAAGGGATTGAACTTGCAACTTGGGCATGTGCCCTGTCTGGGAATCAAGCCCATGACCCTTCAGTGCACGGGAAAATGCTCCAACCAACTGAGCCACACCAGCCAGGGCTCAATAGAGAGAATTTTATGACGCTGTAAACCCACCTGTACTCTCTCCCTGTAATTCTGGGGCCTATGGGTAAAGGCGCCCCAGGGCTGAGCCTAGAAGTCAGAAGTGACTGTTTCTTTCTACATTCGCTTCTTTATCGAAAGCTTGGGCTGAACAGCCGGGCATCCTGATTTGATACTTTTCAGGAACATTTGGAAACGTGCTATGTTATTATATGTGACACTTTTTCTTAAGACGTGTTACCTAGTCCCTCAAGACAAGATTTGGGGATTGGTTAGTTTGTGAAAAGTTTTCCATTTACTGCTTATCTAAAGTATGCTGTAACTAACACTTGACTCGTGAAAATAATGAAGTAAGCATCCAAAATGTTTTTTCCTCAATCCTAATAGGCCAACTCATAGCAGGGTTATATTAAACTGGAAGGCTTTCTTAATATTTTATCTTTTGTGACAAAGTTGTAGCCAACTTTGAAAAGGATCGGATTTGGACTAGAATATCTGTCTCCAGTTTGCAGTAGCTTAATGAGAGCTAAAGTGTATGGACTCCTTTTGTCTGTCATAGGGAAGCTGTTTTAATTGGGAACGTGGTATATGTGAAATGTCATCTCCTGAATACAGCAAGATGGCCCTTATAAATGGCAACAGCTTCTCGCCCTGGAGCTGCACGTAGGACCTTGTTCTCCCGTGTAACACAGATACAGACTCTTCAGGTCTCCCAGCACTGGGCACCCATACCGACTTTGTTTCCTGATGCAGGTTTGAATATCTTTTCAATTTTGACAACACCTTTGAGATCCATGATGACATAGAAGTACTGAAGCGGATGGGAATGTCCTTTGGCCTAGAGTCAGGCAAATGCTCTCTGGAGGATCTGAAACTTGCTAAATCACTGGTGCCAAAGGCCTTAGAAGGTTATATCACAGGTATGTTAACTGATGCTTTCACATGTGGTTCTGATTGAATATTTTGAACCCGAAAGTGTTAAACCTTTCTCCTTTTCTCACAGAAATAGTTCAGGTCACTGTGTGCCCGCCCTTAGTTCTGAGCCCTACCACAGCCTTCAGTGCAGCCATGCTCTTGAATTTCCTGTTCATCACTTTGTTTGTTTGTTTGTTTGTTTGTTTGTTTTTTGTTTTGTTAAACCTCACCTGAGGATATTTTTTCTTTAATTTTTAGATAGAGTGGAAGGGAGAGAGAGAGAGAGAAACATCGATGTAAGAGAGAGACATCAATTGGTTGCTTCCCACGTGACCCTGACCAGGGCCAGGGATTAAACCTGCAACCCAGGTATGTGCCTCCTGACCGGGAGTCGATCCCAAGACCCTTCGGTGCACAGGCCTGGGATCTAACCACTGGGCAACGGCAACCGGGGCTCACTGGATTTTATTTGCATTTCCCTAGTGACTAATGATGTGAGCCATCTTTTCATGTGCTTATTTGCCATTTGTATATCTTTCTTGGAGAATGCCTACTCAGATCCTTTGCTTGTTTTTGTTTTTGTTTTTAATCCTCATCTGAGGATACTTTTCTATTTATCTTCAGATAGAGTGGGAGGGAGAAAGAAGGAAAGAAAGGGAGGGAGAGAGAGAAACATCACTGTGAGAGGGACACATCGACTGGTTTTCTTCCTCATGACCCTGACTAGGGCCTGGAACGAACCGCAACCGAGGTACATGCCCTTGACCGGAATCGAACCTGTGACTCATTGGTCCGAGGGCCAACACTCTACCACTGAGCCAAACTGGCCAGGGTCCTTTGCTTGTTTTAAAATTGGTTTCTTTATCTTTTTTATTATGAGTTATAAGAGTATACTGAGTATATTTGAAAACAGCATATTCCACATATTCTATAATTTAGATTTTTTCCACTATTCAGAAATCTTTATGATTGTCCTATATTCCGCACATAGGAGTTGGATGTAGAGACAGCGCCTCTGCCTCTGGTTTGGGCAGCTTCTTTCACTGTATTACTTCCTAGAATGTCACATCACTTTTTTTTGTTGTTGTATGTGCCCCTAGCGGGAACTGAACCTGGGACTCTCTGGTCCGCAGGCTGACGCTCAACCGCTGAGCCAAACTGGCCAGGGCTCACATCACTTTTTAAAGGCATTTTAGTAAGTTCTAATGTATATTAAATCAAATATAAACAAAGGAGTTTTTCTTTTGTTTTGTTTTATGGTTTTGGCCCTTTGGTCACAACACAAGTGTCTGTTGAATGAGATTTGGTGTCTATTGGATTTAGTTCTTAAATTGGTATCATCCACCACCTGCAAATGCGACCCCGTCTTCTTGCCCCTCGGCCAGTTTGGCCCCCACCAGCTCCCTGCTCCCTGCCCCAAGCGGGGCCTGCGGTGTTCCTGGCGTCCAGCCCTGCTGGAGTCCAGCCCGGTCTCACCCGGGAAATCACCACCCTTTGCTGCAGCCTGTTCTCATTGCCAGAGCTCCGGAGACTAGGCGGGCTCTGCGGTTTCTATCCCCTCGTGGCCTCATCGCAGGCAGCCTGGGTCAGACTGCTGAGCTCAGAAGAAACGTGTGCCTTCAGTGAGCAAAGGGACAGAGGGCTCTTGATGGCGAGAACCGTCGTGTGGTTTCTGTGGTCATGTGAAAGAAACTTAGGCTTTTCAAAGCCATTGTAAAGAGAAAATTTATTGTTTTATGCTCACAAACAAGAAAATAGCTGTGCTCTGACCAAGTTTCTGTAATACTGATTAATATTCAGCACAGGATTCCGGCTTTAATTTTATCGTGTATAGACTTGTTCTTTAATGTGTTTGAAGTCTGCTGTTCTTAGAATTGAAGTTCTCACAGCTGCCTTAGTTAGCCTGTGAAGAGCAAGGGTCACCGGGCCACTCTGACACGCGTGGAGACAGTCCCCTCTTCTCATAGGCCGCCTCTCTCTGGGTCCGACGGTACCAGTCCTGACACACAAGTTTTCTACTTTCTGCACAGTAATTATAAAACTATTTTTGATTAAATATAAAAGCTTGTTTTGGCAAATTACATTTTCTGAGTGTACATTCAATCTTATAATGTAATTCAAAGAATTTCTTTTTAGGAATGTATTTCTAATACATATATGTCACCTACTTTGTAAACTCACAATTGAGTTTACACAAATGTCATTCACTGACATTTAGATCTTACATGTTCTCATCGCTACCTTCTCTGAGCTAACATTCTGGATAAGGAGACAAGCAACAAACAAGTGAGATTACAATAAGAATTGATCAACATTCTGATAGAAATATTGTGTATGCACAGAAAATAAGATGAAAGGATATACCCAAAATATTTCATGCAGACTGAAACAGTAATGCCTGTCTCACTCTCCTTAAAAGCATGACTGCTATGACCTTTTAAAAAAAATATGTTTTTATTGAGTTTTTAGAGAGAGAGGAGGGGGGAGAGAGATAGAAACATTGATGTGAGAGAGAAACATTGATCGGCTGTCTCCTGCACGCCCCCCACTGGGGATCAAGCCTGCAACCTGGGCATGCACCCTGACAGGGAATCCAACCAGGACCTCTCAGTCCATGGGACGATGCTCAAGCCACTGAGCCCCACTGGCTGGGCTGCTTATGACCTTTTAAGATAGAGCTAGTTTGAGTTATAAGCAAAAGATACCAGGAGAAAGAATAGATCTTTGATGACTAATAGCACTGAGTTCACCAAGAGACACTTGAAAAGATGGTGCAGGGGGGTCAGGGGGGGAGGCAAAAATGTGTCTGTCTTTCGTACCTTTGATGTTTCTGATTCGATTTTCTCTTTACCCACTGCTGGCTATTGACCCACAGCTAGAGTCCGGAGTCTCTCGTGGTGAGGGCAGCAGGTGTGCAGGATGGTTCAGTGGTCGCTGTCCTCAGTGAGCTGCCCTCCGAGATCTTACTTAAGAAAAGAGGATGAGAGTCCGCAATCGGTTTAATTAGAATTCTTTCTTGCTGTCGTCTGCCTTCCTGTGTTTTTACCCCTGCTCTTATGTTTTAGACATTTATTTTCTCCAAGCTGAAGAAACCTGGGCTCTTCCCAGGGCAGGACTTGGGTGGCTGTGATTGAGAACAGGCTGACGTCCCTGTGTCTGCTTTCGTCCTTGGTGGCAGTAGCAGCCCCAGATCTGCAGAATCCGCATCTCCTGTTCTTGTTTTTCCCTGCAGATATCTCCACGGGACCTTCTTGGTTAAATCAGGGACTACTTTTGAACTCCACCCAATCAGTTTCAAATTTAGACCTGACCACCGGTGCCACCTTGTCCCAATCAAGGTACGTATTTTTTCAGGGTTAGAAAGGCCCCCCGGAGCCCTGCCCCTTTCCGGGGGAGCCCCGCGAGTCGGTGCCGGCGCAGGCCCCGGCAGAGCTGGCGAGCTCGCTGGAGCACCTCCCTTCTCACGCTTCACTGTTTTACGAAGCCGAAAACGTGCACCACATTAATGAGCCTGTGTGTTTTTAATTGTTTGCTAGTGTAAACCAGGGGTTAAGCTTGGATGCTGAAGTGGCCTTAGCAACGGGGCAGCTCCTTGCCCCAAACAGTCACCAGTCCAGCAGTGCGGCCTCCCACTGCTCCGAGTCCCGAGGCGAGACCCCCTGCTCGTTCAACGATGAAGATGAGGAAGAAGAGGAGGAGGACTCCTCCTCCCCAGAATAAAGACAGGACAGAACCCACGTTTTCCTGTTCGATGCTCGTGTGTTTTTAGTGTGAGCTCTTGTTTTTGAAATGATTGCTTCAGTCCTTGCCTGTTTGCACTGTGTGTTCAGTGAGAACTAGGGAAACACAAGACGCGATTACACGCAGGCTGACACCATCGAGACGGACGTTAACATAGTGTGAATAAAAACTGAACAGTAGGGCGGCAGGTCACCTCTCAACACCGCGAGCTTTCCGAGGTGACAGCGGGGACAGTCCCAGGAGAATTGGGCAGCATGAACCCAGCTCATTTATCTTCTGGCAGGTGGGCTCTCTATTCCCACACCTGTAACCCTCCTTAGAACCAGGATTGCTGCGGTGAACAGTCCTCGATGACCGGGTTTCTCCTGTTTCTCTCCTTAGGAGGCACAAGTGGAGGCAGAAAGCTCCCGGTGGGGAGAGGGGTGCAGGGAGGGAGGCGGGCAGTACTGCAGACCTAGTGGGAAGTAGTTGAGGTGCTTGACGCATCAGCGGCCTTAGACGGCTTCTAGAAAGGAGCAGCGCTAATTCTTCAGTACTTAAGTGACACTTAGAATAATTTATAGTAAAACTGAAATGATCATTACTAGCCAATGCATTGGTGCATATAATTTTTTAGGGCTACTTCTGGAAGCCAAAATAGAATAGCATTTCCACGTGCGTTGAACACTTTGCCAGCACTGCCTTTGGCCAGCATTCTCACTCTGGAGTTTCACAGAGAAGGAGACTGTGCCTGTGGTTTTGAACAGAGCTATGCATTTCATACAGCATTTTCATTTAAAACAAAGGAACAAATTCCTGTGACCGAATCGCTTGCTTACAGTTGCCTGCAGTTTGTGTGATTTCACCCAGTGTGCAGTTGATGGAAATGAAGCAGATGTCATCACTTTTCAAAGAAAAGTCATTTCCAGAATAGGAACAGCACTGTTTTCCTGTCCATGTCACCTCTGATAGTTTCACTTATCAAAATGACCTCACTGAGTATACTCCGGGGTACATTGCGTTTCACACTAACCCGATGTTGCGTTTCACAGCAACAACCAAAAACTGGTGAACTCTCCAAGTGGTTGGGGTTATAGTCGCGCAGCAGCTAGGGTGTCATTTCATAGCCAGAGATGCCGCCGGGAACGCTGGGCTGGCATGTTCTCAGTTCCTGCTCTGAACAGGAGAGCGTGGAGACATCTGCCACCATGGCCAAACCCCAACTTAATTTCACAGTGAGGCCTTGAAAGGAGCAAATAATAATGGAAAACTAACTCTGCGTCTTTGCTTGAGTCATTTGGATTTGCCTCTAGAGGGTGCGTCTGTGGGCCCAGCACCGAGCTCGGCCCAGGTCAGTTTTTCTGAGCCCGAGCGGTGAGTGCGGATGCCTCGCGGTACCTTTCTGCGGCTCCCCGTGCTTGCGGGGAGCTGGGGGTGAAAGGCCCGGCTGACCCCAAGTCCATTAGGCCATAGGAACGAATGCACAGACACATACACTTTAACTTCGTTTCTTTGAGACAAATCTCATTCTGTCAGAAATAAGCCCTAGTGCAGACTCGGCGTGCAAGGGGGCAGAGACCGAGGCAGTTTTTAGAGACTTCTGTCTCAGCCTGAGTTCCAGGGCACATCTCTTGCGCTGGGCGGGTGGGTGAGCCTGAAACGGCAAAGGCCGAGGCGGGTCCCGCGGGCCTCCAGGGAACTGGCTGGGAGGTGGGCAGCCGCAGGCAGGTAGACCGGGCTTCCTTCCACACTGCCCTTGAAGAGGCTGCCTCCTCCTCCACCAACCCCTGCCCTTCTCATCTCTACGTGATGGGGACCTGGAGAGGCCGAGGGCCACAGCTAGCTTTTAGTCTTCAAAGTATTGTCCCTGGGACCTGCACATCAACATTCATGTCGGGTATATTGCTCATCACCTGTCCTCTGCCAGGTAGCAAAATTCTTGCTGGAGGTTTTGGGAAACTCCTCCCTTCCCCTTCCCTCCCCTCTCCTCTCCGTCCGGCTACTGCTGCTGTAGTGCTTTAAGTGGGTAAAATATGGGTTTAAAAGAAAAAGCAGCCAGAGACTCATTATTGTTGGTGCCCCAGCAGTGGCCGTCCAGCAGCAGGTGTGTGGTGTTTGATCCGAAACGGCCTCCGTTCCCCAGTGGTGTTTGAGTTTCTGCTGAAGACATTAGGAGTCACACTGTGGCCAGGTTGAGATGTTTAGAAATAAATTCTGTTGTTCCATGTCTCCCCTAAATGGGTTATCTGGATCTGAGGTTCAGCACTCAGGCACAATTTTGTGTAGAAATCAAAAATGGGGAAAAAAGGAAGTTGTGATTACAGCCCCCAGGTGTCTATAGAAATAGCACTGGGGTTATGTGCGCATGTGCACATGGACACCCCTCTCAGAGGGTCACACTCTGATTTGGGGGGAGTTTGAGAGGCCTTTTTCCCCTCGGGGGTCAGTTTACTGTTACCCTGTCACGTGCATCGTATGTCAGTACAGTCCTGCTCCGTCAGCAGGTGTGCTGTGGCCCCTGCGGTGGCCCCTTAGGTGGGAAGGGCGGTGCTTAAGGTGCCAGCCACCGGCCCGGCCCCACCCCCACCCCCCGTGGATCTCCTCGGTGATGACAGGGTGGTGAGAGCACCTTCCGTAAGTGTTGGCGGAACTGCCTTTCATCTCCTCGACAGTGCCCACCGCCCCTGGAAAACCACCCGACAAATGATGACCATGTGTTTTGTTTTATTTAATTCTGTATAGAAGCGGGGAGAAAACTGGTTTCTGCCATTTTAACAGAGTGAAAAAGGATAACTCCCCTCACTAGCAAAATTTACAGTAATAACCGCACTGCCATGCTTGAAACACAATGCCAGGCCGTCCTCAGACACTAAGGAGCCGTCAGATCACTCAGGTGGAGGCACTTCACAGACGAGGGGCTCGGGTTAGCCGCGCAGACCTCTGTGACTCGGCTGTTTGGAAACCACGACTCTGCTACTTGGGTCATGGAGGCAGCAGTTACTCCAAGTACCTTGTACCGCACAGGACAGAGGACCCTGTCCGGCTGTATCAGTGATGCCCCTCAGGGCCCTTTGAATACCTCTCCAGCCCCCTCCCCTCTGGCATATGAAAGAGGTGAGTCCCAATCAAAATCTGTGAGGTGGACATTAAGACTGGGCTGCCGCCACAGTGAATGTGAAGATTTAGCCCTTCAGTGAGTATTTGCGTGAATACAGAACAGAAAACTTTCCGGTTGATTAATGCTGTGCAAAAAAAAAAAAAAAAAAAGACAGGACAGTGGGCAAAAGGCTCCTCTGGCTGGGATGGCAAGGAAGTCCTCCCTGGGAGAGGGGCGTTGGTCCCGAGTCAGACAACAGAGCCGTCTCTACCTTCTCACCACGACACTCCCATAACACACGCTTGGAGGCTGTTAAAGAATTTTTGGTATTTAAAAGAAAACCAAACTTAGCTATCAGGAGTATTCATAAACCAACAGAAAATTCTAACCCATGAAGGTCTCATTAGCTTTGTTACCTTCCAATCAAAAGGTAGAATAGTAACAATAGAAAAGTAACCACTTTTGTAGGTGTTTTCTAGTTTTACAAGATATTGGATACATAATCTACTTTATATATTAGACACACTAAAGCTCATCTCTTATTCAGCATATGTACTGGTGTTAGTGGAGCTAAAGACTACAGAAGGACCATTTTCCCAAAAAGGTTCCCCATTTTCATGCACCCAAAGCAGTGTTCCCAGGCGCTGGCGATCACCCGTATGATCTTATCAGAGACCCACGGGGGTGCCGGCCTGCAGCCTGCCGCGTGGCGGGCTCTCTGTTCAGGTGATACAATGTCCACTTGCTTTATTTAACTTCCACACTCTAAAGAAAAAAGTCTGGTATATGCTTAAAATTTTACCTTTAAAAATGGAGCTAAATGCTCACATAAATTATTTCTTAGAAATTAGCCCCTTTACACAACCAATTTATCTCTAGAAAGTTATGCTTATATTCAGGGTTCCCACATACCTCTACACGTAGAATATACTAAGAACGAGAAAGTGGGGGCACAGCTGCCCCTCCAGAAGGTTCCCTGGGAGCCGATGCCCATGCCTCACCACGGTGTCCAGACGGGCAGGCACACTCACTCGTTGGTGTCTTGTGCTGAGGTTCTCAGTGAGGTAAACTCTCGCCATCCTTGCGTGGCCTTCGCTTCACAAAAGGCCTGTAGATTCACTGCTGCCTTGACCCCTGCTCCTCCAGCAGGCTGGACTTCGGGCCTCCCTGCTCTAGCTGCATTGGAAGGACCCCTTCACCAGGGCCTCAGAAAGGGAGAGAACATCTCTCCGCCCCACTCAGTCAACCCTCACTTGTCTACCGCCCCTCAGCCTGCATGGCCACGTCTGCATCACAGCCCAGAACTCCCTCCTCCTGGGAGGACCACACTGCCTCCCCAAAACCACGCCCTCCCCACGGTCCTCCGGCGGCCCTGGGATCAGCTCCAGCCCTGTCACACCACGTGCTAAACAGCCAGGGGTGAAAGTGGGACTTCGCTCGCGAGGCTGTGGTGTCAGCGTCGGGCCTCTCAGCTTGGAGTCCCCGCGTTTAGACACATCTGGGAGGAAGCTCCTCGGTAGGCAGACCTGTCGTGCACGCTGCTCACTGGTCATCGGTCAGGGCTTGAGGTGCAGGTACCAGCTGCGCTTCTCTGCCGCATTAGCTTATTTCCATTTATGTCTCAACAAGGAACCCCCCAGATCATGTCTGAGTTTCAAAACCCATCATCTTGTCACTGTGTGTCCTCTTCACTGTGTGTCTAATGACAAGTGGCTTGATTTGCTCGTTCACGACTGAAGTCGGAATTTTTTACATACTAAAAGGTCTGAGGACCTGGATGCATTTCTGCTAAAACACTTCTGAGTGGGTGCAGCCCTCTCCCGGCAGTACCACGACAGGTCAGCCCTCCGGTGTCCTGAGAGACTCACTACCTACCAACTGCACTGGCCACGGGGGGCCGAGCTCTGGGGACCCAGATCGGTCCCGAGCCCCGAGCTGTGTTTGCCACCATCACGCTCTGCTTGTAGACAAAAAAGAAAAAGGCTTGAGCCCAAAACACCTGTTCGTTCACCTTCTCATCTGGAGATACTTTACTCTGATCATGTGCTGTTAGGTTTTACTTCCAGAAAATATGGTTCTGCTTTTTTTTCTGCATGAAGGAAACACGGTGCCATGTGCTCTAAGCAGTTTAAAAAAGCGAAATAAGGGGAAATGCAAACACCACAGCTGACTCACCTAATGTAGACTTTGTTAGATTGGATACCTAACCTGATACAATGTATTATTTTGTAGCATCTCAAACTTTGTAAATAAATACTGTTATTTTTATATGGAAATTTTATAGAAGAGCTATTTCTGTATACTGAATTATTCCTGAATTTTCTGAAATTGCTTCTAGTAGATAACAGACAAGTCCTAAGCAGTGGTCCTTGAAAGATGGTTCAAGGACCACCTGAAGCAGAATTGGCAGGGTTGGAGGTGGGTTGAAATTTCGCATCCCTAGGTCCCACCCCAGACACTCAGACACTCTGGGAGCGAGGCCCTGGGAGGCTGTACTTTTAGTAAACTCGAAGTGATGTTTTTGTCCATTGACGTGTGAGTATCTTTGTCCAGCCTGTAAGAGGAAAAGAAGGAAAGAAAGAAAAGGCATCTGAAATGAAGATCAGTTGTGCTTGAGGAGAAAATGATGTATCAGACTGTTGTATGATTTGAATGAGATGCACTATAGAAAACAATAAATATTTAAAATAACGTCAGTCTCATTATTAGCAGGTGGATATCGCGGTGCCCTGCCCATGGGGCGTCTGCTTTAGGACCGAGAACCCCCGCTGCTGAGGTCCTCCCCGGGAACTGCAGCCGGTGAGGGGTATAAAGCCCGGCCTCCTTGCCCCGACTTGAGGTATCGGAAGGGCCACCCCAACTTCAGAGTTCCCCATGGAATCGCTCAGTTCCTCTGGCAGTTGCATCATGAGTGGCTTCCTCCTCTGCCCCATGCGTCCCTCACTCCTTCATAGTGCTGTTCCCAGGGGCCCTCCCATGCAGGACGCCACTGTCCTACCTGTGATGGAAATAGGGCAGATACTTAGTATGTTTATTTTATTATTATTTTTTTATCCTCACCCGAGGACATTTGGAGGGAGAGAGAGAGAGAAACATCGACGTGAAAGGGACACATCGAGTGGTTGCCACCCGCACAACCCAACCAGGGCCGGAGACAAACTGCAACCGAGTTACATGCCCTTAGCGGGAACCG